GTCTGTTTTTGTGCCAGTACCACACTGTCTTGATGACCACAGCTTTGTAGTACAACCTGAAATCTGGCATTGTGATGCCCCCAGCTATGGTTTTCTTTTTTAAAATTCCCCTGGCTATTCGGGGTCTTTTCTGATTCCACACAAATCTTAAAATAATTTGTTCTAAGTCTCTGAAAAAAGTCCATGGTATTTTGATAGGGATTGCATTGAACGTGTAAATTGCCCTGGGTAGCATTGACATTTTCACAATATTAATTCTGCCAATCCATGAGCATGGAATATTTTTCCATCTCTTTGTGTCTTCCTCAATTTCTTTCAAAAGTGTTCTATAGTTTTTAGGGTATAGATCCTTTACCTCTTTGGTTAGGTTTATTCCTAGGTATCTTATGCTTTTGGGTGCAGTTGTAAATGGGATTGACTCCTTAATTTCTCTTTCTTCAGTCTCATTGTTAGTGTATAGGAATGCCATTGATTTCTGGGCATTGATTTTGTATCCTGCCACGCTACCAAATTGCTGTATGAGTTCTAGCAATCTTGGGGTGGAGGCTTTTGGGTTTTCTATGTAGAGTATCATGTCATCGGCGAAGAGGGAGAGTTTGACTTCTTCTTTGCCAATTTGAATGCCTTTAATGTCTTTTTGTTGTCTGATTGCTGAGGCTAGGACTTCCAGTACTATGTTGAATAGCAGTGGTGAGAGTGGACATCCCTGTCTGGTTCCTGATCTTAGGGGAAAGGCTCCCAGTGCTTCCCCATTGAGAATGATATTTGCTGTGGGCTTTTCGTAGATGGCTTTTAAGATGTCGAGGAAAGTTCCCTCTATCCCTACACTCTGAAGAGTTTTGATCAGGAATGGATGCTGTATTTTGTCAAATGCTTTCTCTGCATCTAATGAGAGGATCATATGGTTCTTGGTTTTTCTCTTGCTGATATGATGAATCACATTGATTGTTTTACGAGTGTTGAACCAGCCTTGCATTCCGGGGATAAATCCTACTTGGTCATGGTGAATAATTTTCTTAATGTGTTGTTGGATCCTATTGGCTAGTATCTTGTTGAGAATTTTTGCATCCATGTTCATCAGGGATATTGGTCTGTAATTCTCCTTTTTGGTGGGGTCTTTGTCTGGTTTTGGAATTAAGGTGATGCTGGCCTCATAGAATGAGTTTGGAAGTACTCCATCTCTTTCTATCTTTCCAAACAGCTTTAGTAGAATAGGTATGATTTCTTCTTTAAACGTTTGATAGAATTCCCCTGGGAAGCCATCTGGCCCTGGACTCTTGTGTCTTGGGAGGTTTTTGATGACTGCTTCAATTTCCTCCCTGGTTATTGGCCTGTTCAGGTTTTCTATTTCTTCCTGCTCCAGTTTTGGTAGTTTGTGGCTTTCCAGGAATGCGTCCATTTCTTCTAGATTGCCTAATTTATTGGCGTAGAGCTGTTCATAATATGTTTTTAAAATCGTTTGTATTTCCTTGGTGTTGGTAGTGATCTCTCCTTTCTCATTCATGATTTTATTAATTTGAGTCTTCTCTCTCTTCTTTTTAATAAGGTTGGCTAATGGTTTATCTATCTTATTAATTCTTTCAAAGAACCAACTCCTGGTTCTATTGATCTGTTCCACAGTTCTTCTGGTCTCAATTTCGTTGAGTTCTGCTCGAATTTTAATTAACTCTCTTCTTCTGCTGGGCGTCGGGTCGATTTGCTGCTTCTTCTCTAGCTCCTTTATGTGTAAGGTTGGCTTTTGTATTTGAGTTCTTTCCAGTTTTTGAATGGATGCTTGTATTGCGATGTATTTCCCCCTCAGGAGTGCTTTTGCTGCATCCCAAAGATTTTGAACAGTTGTATCTTCATTCTCATTAGTTTCCATGAATCTTTTTAATTCTTCCTTAATTTCCTGGTTGACCCTTTTATCTTTTAGCAGGATGGTCCTTAACCTCCACGTGTTTGAGGTCCTTCCAAACTTCTTCTTGTGATTGAGTTCTAATTTCAAGGCGTTATGGTCTGAGAATATGCAGGGGACGATCCCAATCTTTTGGTATCGGTTCAGACCCGATTTGTGACCCAGTATGTGGTCTATTCTGGAAAAAGTTCCATGTGCACTTGAGAAGAATGTGTATTCAGTTGAGTTTGGATGTAAAGTTCTGTAGATATCTGTGAAATCTATCTGGTCCAGTGTATCATTTAAAGCTCTCGTTTCTTTGGAGATGTTGTGTTTAGAAGACCTTGATAGAAGCGTGAACTCCTCTCACTGTAGCGTTCCAGCTGGTCTCTCTTTACATCTCAGGCCGAATTCGTAGATTTTCAGGATGGTTTGAAGGTTATCTAGGTAATTTGTTGGGGACAGGTGATTTGGGGACCCTACTCCTCCGCCATCTTGCCCCTCCTTCAAGGTATTTTTTTATTTCTTCTTTGATTTCTTTATTGTCCCATTGATTGTTTAGCCTCCATGTTTGTGGTTTTTCCCCCCAGTTTTCTTCTTGTAATTGATTTCTAGTATCATACCATTATAGTTGGAAAAGATTCTTGATATGATTTCAATCTTCTTAAATTTGTTAAGACTTCTTCTGTGGCCTAACATATGATCTATCCCGGAAAATGTTCCATGTGCACTTGAAAAGAATGTGTATGTGTTTTTGGCTATTTGGGGATGCAATGTTCTATATGTATCTATTAAGTCTACAAACCACAACTGGATAAAATTCTGTCTCGCTCCCCCCTCCATCATCCTCCCCACTTCCTTTTAGCCCTGAATTTTTCTTGGAGTTTTAGTATTATGGGTTTGATTCCTCTCCCAACCCATCTCCATCTTGAGATCAGCCTGGGTCCTGAAGATTCCTAACCTAGCAGCAGACCCTAGGGTCACCTTCATGGCCAAGGGAATGGTATGCAGCCAGCTCAGCTCAGAGACCCAATTCCACAAACGCCTTTAAAAATGTCACTATGTCTCACTGTTCAGGGGCAGAGTGAGGAGTCAGGAAGAGTTCACACACCCACGCTGCCAGGACCTGGTGATAGAAGCTAGGGTAGAAGCTTCAATGTTCTGCACGCAAAGCACACTAAGTGCTTGCAAGCTAAACCATTTGCGGTTGCCCGATCTCTACCTTAGCTGCAGGCCTGCAAAGCTGCTACCCTACACTCTGGACCTGCAGCTGAGCAAAGGCGTAGACGACTCAAGTCAAGAGACCTGTTGAAAAGAGACCAATAGGGGAAAATGTATAAACATTCACATCTTAAGGTGAGTGGATAAGATATCCATCTCCTACTTCACTTCCTCGCCATGTTCATCTCTCACCCAACCAAGAGTCACATGAGAATTGCCTGCCTGTGTCAGATTATTTTCCCACTTCCAGGGAATTAGGGAATCTAGAGCACAAAAAGTTAGAAAGTTCACACCTCCATTCTTGTCTTTGACAATAAGCACATTGAATTCTTTCCAGACTGTATGGAACTTCTCACCTAAAGACTTCCAGGAAACACTTTACTGTCAGAAAGTGCTTCCTGGTACTTTACCCAAAACCCTCGTGCTTCAGTTTAAACTCCCATGTTCTATCCTCAAAGAAGATGAGGGTGGTGTGGCCTTTTTCTCTGTTGAGGGCTCACTAAGTAATTTCCAGGTTTCATCTGTTAAAAGGGATGCTGCTATGAACACTTTTGTACATATCTTTTGATGCCAACATATATGCATTTCTGTTCAATATATACCTAGGAGTGAAAATGCTGGGCCATCAGGTATTTTTATGATCCATTTAGTAGATTCTGTTAATGCAGTTTTCTAAAAGTAGTTGTACCAATTTACACTCCCCCTGAAGGTGTACAAGAGAACACCTTACATCCTCACCAGCATGTGGTTACTATCTTGATAGTTTCAGCCATTTTTATGGGGCATGTAGTGGTGTTTCACTTAGTTTAAATTGGCACTTCACGGTTATTTATGAAGTCAAGCTTCTTTTTCTGTGTTCATTTGGCACTTGGATATCTGCTTCTATAAATTACATATTCAATTATTTTGCCCATTTTTTTAAATTTATGATAGTCACAGAGAGAGAGAGAGAGAGAGAGAGAGAGAGGCAGAGACACAGGCAGAGGGAGAAGCAGGCTCCATGCACCGGGAGCCTGATGTGGGATTCGATCCCGGGTCTCCAGGATCGCGCCCTGAGCCAAAGGCAGGCGCCAAACCGCTGCGCCACCCAGGGATCCCTATTTTGCCCATTTTCCAGTGGATTGTCTCTCTTTTTCTTACTGACTTTTAGAAAGTCTTATATTCTGGATATGGGTCCTTTCTCGGCCACGTGTATGGAAAATATCTTGTCACCCTGTGGCTTGCCTATTTACTCTCCTACTAGTACAATTCAAGGAAAAGTTCTCAAAATAATAACCTGACAGTCTTAAAACCTCAGATTCAGAAATTCCAGCCCATTCCACTCCGACCTCATCAATCCCGGAGTTCCTCCTGAACTAGTAGTCCCGTGGGCCATTTTCAGGATTCCACTTTTCCACCTCATTGCAGTGCACAGAGACTCACTTTTCTCCTTGGATAGAAGGAAACCTTGGAGAAGTGGACGTCACTCAGGGTGGGGGACGGATGATCTTGGCGTTTTCAGAACTGTGCTACCTTCCAAGATAAATGATGTTGAAATCACACAAATTCTGGCAGTCTCTGGATCTTTCCATAGCCATGTCCCATCTTGATTCATTAGCATGAGCTTTTCAAAGCCACAGAGTGTTCAAGGGTTTATTAGCAAATTTCCTGACTCCTTCATGCAGCATGGTAAAGGAAGTTCACTTATATTATACCTCTTCAACCAAAGAGGAAATACTAATTTGAACTTTTAAAGTTTCTTCCCCACTTCCTCTATTTAGACTATGAAGTAGCAACACCACCTACATCAGAAGGGTCACTCACCCATCCCTGGGCCTGCGGCTTAGATCCTCTCCACTCCACCCTGACTCTGCATCTGCCTTTAGCTGGACCTATGTCCTTCCCCTGTGCCAGGCCAGGTTCCATGCTGCTCTACAGGATTATGCTGTTCTTTGGTAAGTCACCAAGCATGAGCTTTCCCTCCTTGGCACCAAAGGCTAAGTTATTTGGGTCTTCTACTTTCACCTTTCTGAGTTCAAGTGGATTTAATGAGGGTGTGCACATGGGTATGCTTGACAGAGATGGGGTGTAGTGGGGGGGGCTCCTCTTATGTTTCCCATCCCTTCGTCCTTAGAAGGGGAGGCCTTCAATGTATCAGAGCAAAATTAGGGAGACAGAAAATCACATTCTGAGGCCCAATGACATGTTTACCCTGTCAAATAAGATTAAATTACTCACCAGGCTGTCTCAAAAGGAAAATGAAGTTATAGAAGGAAAGAAGGCTTGGGATGCCTGGGTGGCTCAGTCGATTAAGCCTCGGCCTTCGGCTCAGGTCATGATCTCCGGGTCCTGGGATCAAGCCCTGAATCAGGCTGCTTGCTCAGCAAGGAGTCTGCTGCTCCCTCTCCCTCTGTCTCTCCCTCAGCTTGTGCACACTCTCTCTCTCTCTCTCAGATAAACAAAATCTTAAAAAAAAAAAAAAAGAGGAAGGAAAGAAGCTTTGGGCAGGGCGTGGGCTGGACAGGATTAGGGAAATGGGAAAAGGTAGTTCTGTGCATTTTGCTCAGCAATAGGTAGGCTTTTACAAAAAACAAAAGATTTATTTTTATGAAGTTTCAGTGTTTTCCTAGAAGCAGTCAACAATGACCAGGCTTCTCATCTGATCAAGAGGCCTTGCTCTGAGTGTCCAAAGCCCTTTACCCACTGGCCGTTCCCCTTCTCCCTACATCATCTCTCTGTTGGGGATGGGCAGGTGCAGAGGTTGCTTCAGGTCTGACTGATCCTTGGGGATGGTTCGCAGGATCAAATCCATTCTCCCTGAGGTATGTCTCTCTCCTTGACGCACCTCCCCGGAGGCCAGTCACCCTTGCCAGCAGTGGAAGGGACTGCTCCTCCAGTGGGAGAGAACTACGAGGTGGGGAGAGGGTCACTAGGCACCTCCCAGACTCAACCCAGTCTCAGCCACTATTGCCTGCTACACTTAAAAGGAACAAGTCTGGGCACATACTCCACATCGCCTTACAATTTCCGAGTTGACTTACTTTTTGCTTTATACTTGGTCCCATTAGTTTTCTTGTTTGTTTTCGTCGAACCAGAAAAACAAAACCATTTCTAAATACGATCTCTTCCTGGACAGAGTTTTTGAGAATTTGACCCTGCAAGGAAAACCCTTGTCCCATTCGGTGCTCTTCCTTCCCCCACATCAGTGTTGTCCTGTGTGCTTATGAACAGCCCTTTGGACAAGTGGAAAGATCCAAGGGCAGGGTCAGGATGGCCTAGTGCCTGGATAGGCTCCAGAAGAAAGGCTTTCAAGGGCAAATCACTAACTTGTAAAAGGAACAGCCCTTGCTGGGCTTGACTGGATGAAGTCCAAGCGCTTTCCAGCGTGGAACCCATGATCTGGAAGAGAGAGAGAGTCAAAAACTGGCTGACTAGGGGACAAGGTGGTAGAGGACCCAGGCCCAATGGAGTCACACTTGATGCTTGGGGACCTCAGGAAACCAATCTAAGATGCTGGGACCCCATGGCTAGGTGTGGAGAAACAGAGTTACCCTAAGTGCAGAGCTGCTATTTCCTCTTAGATGTGGGCAGAGACAAACAAGAAAACACCGAAGGCCTGCTTTGTAGTGCGTACGGTATCTCACCTCACCTTTAGAATCATAGGGTGGGTATTTTTTTTAATCCCGATTAAAAAATTGGGGATATTGAGGTTCACGATGGTTAACAAACTTGTGTAGAATTGCCCTGCTAATGAGCACAACAGATGCAAACCCAAGTCCACTTGGTGCTACCCGTGTGCTCTCTCCATCCCACCGCGATACCTCTAGCACAGCTGTGGTTGAGTTTTAATCAAGTGAGACTGGAAAACAAAATTCACTCCAAGTGCCTGGTGGGGCACATTCACACAGTAAGTGGTGCCTCTTACTATTATGACTATCAGGAATTCGAGAGGCCAGGGGCCCTGATGCCAAATGTGCTGGTACCTGGCTGTACACTAAAGGTGTATTTGAAGTTTAGGAGAAGAACCTTAAATTTCTTCTGAGCTGAGCATTCGCCAAGTTCGGTCCCAGGGCTGGAACCCACCCTCCGTAGACACGCACGCGGGCCATGACAACTATCTCAGAGCTTCCAGAACACGGCCACCCCCTGGCACCGTGGAAGCACGGCATGTTCCAGTGTGCTTGCGCTCACTGCCGAGAGGGTCCCTCGTGCTCTGCTGAAATCTGCTTCCCTGATCTCCCTCATTTCCATGAATTAGTCCCACTTCTGCCTAAAGTCTATCCCTCTCTCTTAAGCTTCGCCCATCAGCTATTTGAAGACCCCTGTGTCCCTACTCTGCTGGGTCTTTCTCAGACAAGTATCTCCCAGCGCCTCTGAGCGGGAAATGGTGTCAGGGCCCCGTCCATCATGCTGGTTGGCCTGCTTGGTCCCCATACACTGTCCATGGGCCAGGAGCTGGGCCTTCTCCTCCCTCCCACCACGGCCTCACTAGTGCCAAGGTCGGCAGGGCTGCGGCCTCCGCTGTCTATTGTACAACTTATTCAATGGCTGTGTCATCGCCTCATCTTCAACCTGTAGCAGACTGGGGTCCACGGGCCCTTTGTAGGAAGTGCCACAAAGCACCCACAGCCCCCCTGCACACCCTACTGCCAACTATCTTCATGACAGACGCTGGCTCTGTGGGCACAGCTCCCTGGTCTCACCGCACTGGACAACAGGTCCCTGGGGCCCGGGGACACCAGCTCATCTGAGGTGTCCCTCTGGCCTCTGGATGCCTTCTCTCCTGTTGTAGGCTTCTATGCCCTCACCCTGTTCACTCACCACTTTGAAGTTGCAGAGGCATTTTTCCGGTAAAGAGGGGAAAGGAAGAAGGGCATCACTCCACTGAGAGATTTTAGTCACTCTGAGGTCAGGCCTTCTTTCTGCTTTCAGTTAAAACAGTAACCACGTTTCCAGGAGGCGGGTCACTAGCCACACGGCCCTGCAAGGAAGAAATGGCTGTGGTGGTTCCCGTCCTATAGACAGAACCAGGAATTGAAGGCTGTTGGAATCCACACAGTTCATCCAAGTTCCCACCGAAAGAGAGGGATTCAGGAGTTAGGTTCAGGTCCTGTGATTCCAGACCCTGCATGCTTCCCACCACACCAAGCGCAGAGGAAAGATGTGTTTAGATGGGGCAGGGGGAAGATGGAAGGATGGCTAGAGAGGCGCGGAATTCCTTGCACACTGAGAGCCTGTGGCTGAGCTAGCCCCCAGCTGAGCACAGAACTGAAACTGAAAGCCTCTGTCTGGGTCCCAGGCCACGCGGGCAACACGGGTGACGGCATGTGAATCAATGTGCCAAACAGCTGCATCTCAGGGCCCTGGTGAGAGCGTCCTCACCCACGCCTCCCAAGGCCATTCCCACATTTCTCAATGTCTGACCATCACCCATGACCTGTCGGTGTAAAGAACACAGTAGGGCCCGAGGACGGCCAGTCTGACTCTTCGCAGCCCTATGCCGCTCTTTGCTTCACCCCTTGACCTAAAGCCTAGAACACGGTCCACCACCTCGTGTCCAGCTGTGCCCCTCCATCCCTTGGACTGGTCATGCCTGTCTAACCTACCTCATCTATCATTTTGTGGCTTGGCCTCTCTTCCCAGACCATTTTTGTTCTGCAAACATTCATGCATTTAAAAGCATTAGGGGTTGGGACGCCTGGGTGGCTCAGTGTTTAAGCATCTGCCCTAGGCTCAGGGCGTGATCCCGGAGTCCCTGGATCCAGTGTGGGGATGGAGTCCCACATTGGGCTCCCCGCGGGGAGGCTGCTTCTCCCTCTGCCTGTGCCTCTGCCTTTCTCCGTGTCTCTCAAAATAAATAAAATCTTTAAAAATAAATAAAAATAAATAAAAGCATTAGGGGCACCTGGCTGGCTTAGTGGGGTGAGCATATGACTCTTGATCTCACAGTCATAAGTTCAGGCCCCACCCTGGGCATGGAGCCTACATAAAATTTTTATTTTTAATTAAAATAAAAATAAAAATTTTCTCTGATGGGGCCAACTTGGCTCAGTTGGTACAGCATGAAACTCTTGATCTCAGGCTCATGAATTCAAACCCCATGTTAGGTGTAGAGCTTACTAAAATAAATAAATAAATAAATAAATAAATAAATAAATAAATAAATAAATAAATGCAATAAAGCAAAAGCATGATTAGTTCAATTACATAAAAAGATTTGGGGGGCGCCTGGCTGGCTCAGTCTCTAGAGCTGTGATTCTTGAGCTCCAAGCTGTGAGTTCGAGCCCATGTTAGGTGTAGAGATTACTTAAAAATAAAATCTTAAAAAATAATAATAAAATGATAGATTGATAGATGATAGATAGATAGATAGATAGGTGATAGATAGAAGCATTAGGGGTGCATATAGGGGCGATCCAAGCTGCCGGTCAAGGTCCCTCAGTCTTCGTGACCCCGCACCTCTTCATCTGTCACTTCCAGGCTGTGCTCTCCAGAGCTCTGCAGACAGGTGGGGCCACAGGAGTGCGCGGCCTGCCTTTGCTCTCTGAGTTCTTCCGCAGGTGCAGATAGGCACTGGGACCCACCGGTGCACGGGTCCACTCTTCCGTGTCCTGCTTGGGGTGCCCTGCTCCACGTGGCTGGGCACAAAGCCGGCGAGTGTTCATCCAACAGATGCACATTGAACACAGACTATTCCCGGCACGGGTCCTCGGCATGGGTGGGGTGGTACAAGGTATAGGTGAGCCCCGCCCTCGTAGAGCTTGCGTCCTAGACACAGGGAGGCAGGCGGTAACGAGGAGGCAATTTAAAGAATAATATAACTTCAAATAGAGACAAGGGCTCGGACGTTAATGCAGTGGGGTGCTGTGACGGTGACTGAGGTGAATTATTTCAATTGGGGGTCCCAGAAAGACCTACAGGGGTGACATTTGAACTGAGGTAGGGCAGAGGATTCCAGGCAGTGGGTCCAAAATAAAAGCAGAGTGGCTGGGTGGCCGGGTGGCCGGGGAGCAGGGGGGGCTGGAGGGGCTGAATGGTTTGGGGAGCTGGGGGCTGAGGGGCAGGGGGGATGGGGGGATGGGTGATTAGGTGGTTGGGGGGCTGGGAGTCTGAGTGGCCTGGGGGGCCTGGGGGCTGTAGGGCTGTGGGGCTGGATGTTTGGGTGGCTGAGTGGCTCGGGGTGCTGGGGGGCTGGGGGCTGGGTGGTCGAGGGGCCAAGTGGCTGAGTGGCCAGCTGAGTGGGTACCCAGGGGGCTGGGTAATTGGCTTATTGGCTTATTGAATGGATTTGAGCGCCCATCCCTGAGGTGACAGGCCTTCTGGTGAGAAAGTTCTTTCTGCTACTTACCCTAGTTGTGTCGCTCTGTTCTCTTGCAGTTCCCTGTGCTGGGAAAACTGGTGAGTCTTACGTATCTGTCCCTTCCAACTCCAAGTATGTCTCTGGGCCAAAACTTAATGGATGGGTCATGGGTCCCCTGGAAACATCTTCAGAGCAGCAGACTGAGCCCATTCCTCGGGAATCCTGGCCAGGGCCCAGGCAGAAATGAGACCTGGGACCCCACTGGTCTCAGGCCGAGGGTAACTCTGGGGCCCAGCAAATGGCTCTGGGCCTCATCTCATCCCCCGTAAGTGGCACTGGCCTCCGTCTCCTCCTCTCAGCAGTGCTCGGAAGCTCCTCCGGTCTCCACTCCCCGAGGCCCTGGACTCCCTTCCATCCCTCGAATGTTCAGAGGAGGCAGCTTTGTCCCTCGGCAACCTTTGCCTTCCCGCCCACCCTGACCCTCATAGAGCTCTCTGTCAAGTGGGAAAAACCCTGACCCATGAACAGGCCTGACCAACCAGGACATGTTCTGCATGTTCTGGGGGGGGGGGGGTGCCAGAAGAAGTCAAACCCAGGCACAAGCAGGGGAGGGGAGGGAAGGGCAGGGGTAGAGAGAAGAGCCAGGGAGAAGTTGGGGAGGGGGTGGAGCAAAGCAGAGGCCTGGCCCTGGCCCGGCGGGGAGGCCTGGGGGACCGGGAGCCCCGAGGCTGAGGGACAGAGGGAGAAAATGAGCCGGTGGGACGCGAGGCTCCGGGCAACCCCGTTCCTGTGTCTCCCAGTCTGGCTGCACCTCCAAGCCTGGCCAGACCCCGTGTTCGAGGGAGACGCCCTGACTGCAGTGCCAGGGGTGGAGGAACACAGACGTGTCCCAGGTGGAGTTCTACAGAGACAGAAAGGCGCTCGGTGCCCCCAGGGATGCACAGGTCCTGCCCATGGGCACGGCAGCCCTGGAGAGCAGCGGCCAGTACAGCTGCAGTGGGAGGATGGCCCACATCCCACACCTAGGCACCCAGAGGTCAGAGGTGACCACGGTTCAAGTCCAAGGTGAGTCGCCAGAGGGGGGCCGGGGTGGGGCCGGGGTGTTGCGCAGGGATCCAGCCTCTAGAGGTCAGCAGTCTGTGGGCAGCGCCGTCACCCTGGCCGCCCCTCCGGGCCCAACCACAAGGCTCCAGGTGTCCCCGCGCTAGCGCGGGGGAGGGAGGGGAAGCACCCTGGACCAGCCCTGCCCCTCAGTCCCGGAGACCTTGGGCCGGACCCCTCCCTTCTGGGGACCAGGTGACCCCTAGGCCCTCCGCTCTAGCCCGAGGTTCCAGGGACGCCCGTGTTGTGGCTCCCGGCTGAGAGCCATGGCCTGAGGGACAGGGACGGTGTCCCCTGCCGGGCACAGGGCTGGGGCCTGGGGACGCCCTGGATACCACCTGGCCTCTGGGCACCCGCGGGTCAGGGGTCCCCTGTGAGCCCGGGCCTCTCCTCCCCAGAGCTGTTCCGGCCTCCAGAGCTGCATGCTGTCCCCTCTCCCGAGACCCGTGAGGGGGCCCCGCTGACCCTGAGATGCCAGACGGAGATGCACCCCCAGAAGTCAGCCTCCAGGCTCCTCTTCTCCTTCCTCAAGGACGGCCGCACCTTGCAGGACAGGGACCCCCAGCCAGAGCTCCACCTCCCAAAAGCCCGGGAGGGAGACTCTGGGCTTTACTGGTGCCAGGCCACCCCCGAGGGCAGCAGCATCCGGAAACAGAGCCCCTGGCTGGAGGTCAGGGTGCTGGGTGAGTGGGGAAGGAGGGGGACACTGCCCGGGATCTGCCTTCAGGTAATGGGACCCCTGAGCCTTGGGGGGGATCCCCAGGGCAGGAGGGGGCTCAGGCCCCAGTAGCCGACGCCCAGATCCCTGGGGAGTGTCGCTGACGTCCACCCCCTATGCGCCCAGCCCCTGTGTCCCAGCCTCTGCTCACCCTGAGCCCCGGGCCCACTGGCCTGGCCGTGGGGGACGTGGTACAGCTCTTCTGTGTGGCCCTCAAGGGCTCCCCTCCCATCCTGTACTCATTCTACCTGGACGGGAAGATGCTGGGGAGCCCCCAGGCTCCGCGTGGTAGGACCGCCTCCTTCTCCTTCACCGCGATGTCAGCGCGGGACGCCGGGAGCTACTCCTGCCAGGCCCAGAACAACGTCTCCAAAGAGACCAGTGAGCCCAAGATGCTCTCCCTGGACGGTAGGTCTTGTCGCCCAGCCGGGCTCTGCGCCCCAGCCAGCGGCAGGAGTCAGGGATCACCCCTCGGTGTGCCCCCCACCCGCACCCTGCGCTGCAAGACTGAGCGCAGACCCTGCTTGGGGCGTCCGTGCCCTGAACCAGGAGGAAAGGTGGGAGGTCGCTGTGGAGGGCGCGGTGGCGTGGAGCCGTCCTGCTGGCACCCTCTGCAGCCCCCTGCCTCCTCCTTGAGGCCGCACGTGCCCCAATGCCGGCCCTTCTGACCCCTCTGCGCCCGCCGGGGGACACCTCCGAGTCTCATCCTCGATGCCCATGGTGCCCCGTCTCCCCCCGCAGCTCCCGCGGGCTCGCCCGCCCCGCCCGGCGCCCCCCAGCTGGCTCCCTGGCTGTGTGCAGGCCTGCTGGCCGTGCTGGCCGTCACTGCGGCACTTCTGGGCCACTTCAGACCCTGGAGACAATCCGGTCAGTAACCGTTCCGACTTCCTTAGTGGCCGAACCGCTTAGCCAGACGCTGCCCGGCCTTTGGAAAGCCACCGTCCCGAGGGCCCCGCTGCTTCCTCCGCCGAGTGGTGGGTGGCAAGAGGGACTCCTCTCTAACCGTCCCACAAAGGAGCCCGCGGAGGGACCCTTACAGCCTCCAACACACACAAACACACACACACACACACACAGACCAGTGTCTCACGTACCCACGGTCAGCCAGAGACGCGTGAACAAAGGCGCCGACAGAGGAGTCCGTAAACACCGCACGCAGAGCACATGAGGGCCCCCGTGTTTGGAGGAGCATCTGTGGCTGTGGGCGGACCACGAAAGCCCCGGGCCACCCCCACCTTGTCGGGCCAGAGCTCTGCCAAGCGAGGACGAGGGATGGAGAACCCCGGGCTGCTCAGCGGAGGCTCCTCACCAGGAGGGAAGCGGAGCCGCGGCCTCCCCACACCGGCCTCCCAATTCTGTGGCCCTGGCCCTTGGCTCCAGGATTCCTCAAGCGTCTCCGCTTGGGGTTATTGTGAGAGTCGCAGCCAAGGAGATGCATCGACCTGACACCTCGAGTGTGGGCTGGCACCTGGCGGGGGCTGGCACCTTCTCCCTCGGGGCCACGTGGATTCCGGACCCACACGGTGGAGACGGGGAGGCAGGAATGGAGGCCCTCACGGCCAGGCTGGCTCCGCACTGCCTCCCACTCTAGCCTGTCTCCGCCTCGGGCTGCATCTAAGGGAAGGCCATTGCTGGCCCGGCTCGTTGCTAGACTTTCAGCCCCCGATGACGGGGACCCAGACCCGCCCACCTCCTGCTCGCCCCGCGGAGCCGTCATTCCTGCTTTCCACTTGCCAAGGGACGAAGCCGCCACCTGCATTTCCTTATTCACGTCGGCAGCCCCTTCTGTCGAGGAATCCGCGTGAGATTTTCGGGAGCCAGGCCAGACCACTCTGGGAGGAGGACCACCCGGTGCTCCTCCCCAAGCTCCTGCCAGGACGCCTGCAGGGGCCTCTCCCCGGTCCTGATCCCCCAGCCCCCGCGCCCCACAAGCTCCCCCGTTAGGGCCTGGACCAGCCTCCAAGCAGATCTTTGTCCCACAAACGTGCCCTCTAGTCTTGAGTCCAGGCTCCATGCAGGCTGTCGTGCTTTAAGCTACGGCTGTGCAGGAGGAGGACGGGAGGACGTTGGAGGCAGCCGGAGCTAGCTGGGGCGGCTGCACACACTGCCACCGTCCCGCCTCCCCCCGGCCCCACCGTGGACGCCTGGGAGCCCCCGGGGCCTGTGCCCCCAGCCCCTCAGCTCTGGGTCCGGGCACTAAAGGCAAAGCAACAGGCCCAGCCGTCTCCCCGCCAGCCCCCGATGGGACGATGGGAGAGCGGGCGCTGCTGCAGGCCCCTCGGGAGGAAGAAGCGCCTCGTGGGAAACGAGAGAACACGTTCCCGTGCAGACGCTGCTGCGGCCCCCACGCAGCCCCACTGCCAGCCTGGGAGCGCCTGGGCCCCACTGCGTGAGGGAACCTGTCTCCCGGGAAAACAGGGCTCCCGGTGGTGGCCCCGGTCCTCTCACCTCAGAGTCCCAGGCGTGCAGAACCTTCAGAATGTCACGCGGGAAACCACCGTCGGGCCCGATTCCAAAGCTTCACCAGAAAACCAGCAGGTCGACGGCTTCGTAGCTCACAGCCACCCACTGACCGCCTCCGGGGAGCACGTCGCTCCCTCAGCACACCAACCTGCCACCTCCAAGGGCACTGGGCAGGCCGTACCTCTGAAGGGGATTGGCAGGACGTGCTGGCCAACGACAGCGAGCCCGGCACCACACACAGTGACGCAAGGTGGCACCTGCCCAGTTGTGCGCACTGGCCTCTGCTTGCTTAACAAGGTCCATTTCACCACCTGTTGTCACACCGTGTGTGAAACAGAGGAACCCCCGGAGCCCATCAGAGGACGGAGACCCAGAAACAGCCCTGGCGAACGAGCACCGGAGCGGGGGTGCAATGACAGGGAGCACTCTGGGTCTTACAGGAAACACCACTCCCACGACTTGGCCAGCTAAGGGACGTTCCTCAGGCACCAAGTGTTCTAAAACACACGTGTGAACCCGTCCCTATCCTAGGAGCTGATTTTGAGAGCTTTGGAAGCACCTGCTCCCCTGGAAGCACCTGCTCTCCATGTTAGTGGAGAAAAAGCCTATAAACCCCCGTTAAGACTCTGTCCCTACCCCTTACCTTATGTGCCTGCCCTTGGAGAGGTCCCCTCGCCCAGCCTCAGTCGCCTCACCTACAAGTGATACTAGGATGGCCCGGTATCAACCTCTGCAGGACGGTCGTGGAGAATTCCAGACGCCAGAGGGTCAGGAGGAGAGGCTTTCTTGCCCCCTGGCTGCGTGCCGCTCGCTGGGCCAGGCGCCGAGCGGGGCGCAGCCCCCGCGCTGCAGTTCCCGGGGCCAGGGTCTGGCACGCAGCATGTGGCCAAAGCCAGTAGCTTTCCCCCTTCCGGAAAACAGCCCTCCTGGCGAGCCTAGGCCCTCTCCCTGCAGGGGCGGCCCCGTCCCTTCTGACCCCGCTTCCTCCCGGGCTGTGGCTCCCATGGGGCCACATAGGGTATTTCTCAAAGGAAACATCTCATGAAAATTAACCACGTCCAGACCTGCGGCTTGGCCCTCGTGGACAGACGAGCCTGAGACGCGGGCAGCCTCCACTGCCTTTCCTTGTCGCAGGCTCCCCGCTCTCTGAGGGCTCAGAGTCGTGCCTTTGTGTCTCCCAGGGCCGCCTCCGACCCAGGATCCGCCCCCAGCCCCAGCCGGAGAGCAGCACGCGGTGTATGGCAACGGTAAGGACCTGCAGCAGGGCCACGCACGGTGGGTCCCGGAAGGCCGAGGAGGGCCTCTGGAGAGGACAAGGACAAGGAAGCCCTGCGAGCCCCAAACCTCAGGAGTCAGTCACTGGGGAAGGAAGTAGAGGCTTCTGGGGAGAGCGTGCGGAGGCGGAGCCAGTGCATGGGGCTCGGGGAGGGAGGGACAGGGAAGTGGCGGGGACGCCCGGCCTCCAGGCCGAGGGCAGGGGGTCGTTAGGCCAACGGCCAGCCCCGGTCCACCAAGTAATTCTGTAAAGAACATTACATATGAGTCGTGTAAGGCTGCTTTTGCACCACAGAACTGAGTGATGGCAGCAAACACCTTACGGCCAACCGGGCCTAAGACATTGACTTTTTAACAGAAAATGTTTGCCAACCTCCAGTTTAAACAGTGTCAGGGCTGGTGAAGCCTCTAGAACCTGCTGTGGGGGCAGGCAGCTTTTGCCAAGACGGATATCCCACGTTACTAACGGCCTCCCACTCTCAGTTCCCACCTGGCTCCCCCCATAGGTGTCCTCGGGACACTGAGGCCTCGAGGTGGGACAGCAGGTGGGTCTTATTCAAGCCTCATTCCTTCTTTCAGTCACTTGGCAGGATGAGGATGAAGAAGCTTATACGTATCCTTCAGACCTTGCAGTGCTAAGGGAGCCTGAGGGTGAGTAATCTCGGACCAAACTCGACGCCCTCGCTAATGTAAAGGGGAAGTTTGGGGCCTGGGCTGAGGTGTCACCACCACTACCACCAACATTGCCATTTTACAGTGACAATTATCATCATCACGTCTACCATCACCACCACCTCCACCACCAACACCTCCACCACCCCCAAAACCTCCACCACCCCCATCACCACCACCAATACCATTACCACCACCATCAACAACACTATCACCCCACCATCACCACCATCACCCCCTTCACCTCCACCACCACCATAGCCACCATTGCCACCATCACCAACAACACCCCCATCACCACCACCAATACCACCATCACTACCATCACCACCACCAACACCATTACCACCATCAACAACAATGCTATCACCCCACCATCACCCCTTCCCCTCCACCACCACCACCAATACCATCACAACCACCAATACCATTACCACTACCATCAACAACACTACCTCCACCACCCCCACCATCACCACCATCACCCCCTTCACCTCCACCACCACCATAGCCACCATTGCCACCATCACCAACAACACCCCCATCACCACCACTCCATCACCACCAACACCCCTACCACAAACATCACTACGTCCACCATAATGACTATTTTATTTTTAAAGATTTTATTAATCTATTCATGAGAGACAGAGAGAGAGAGAGAGGCAGAGACACAGGCAGAGGGAGAAGCAGGCTCCCAGTAGGAGCTCAATCGGAACTCGATCCCAGGACCCCGGGGTCACACCCTGGGACAAAGGCAGGCGCTCAACCGCTGGATCCCCAGGGATCCCACATCATGACTGTCTTCAACATCATCTCCACACACCACCACTGCTCCCACTGGAACCAGGGAGATTTTTTGCCTTTTTCTGAGCCCTGCGGAGGAACAAAGAAAGGAGAGGAAGGAATGACGCAGCTGGGCTTCGCCCCAGAGTAGAAGACTCCGCAGGACATTCCCGGGTCTGAGAGGAGCCAGGAAGACCGTGCACTTCAGCCGCAGATCCCAGACTCAGGATGGGGGGAGTCTAGTTGGAAAGGATGGCAAGGGGGCGTCCTAGGAAGAGTAGGGGCTTCCGAGTCAGTCACACCTGAGTTCAAATCCTGACTCCGTGTACTCACTGTGCGACGGGGCAAGGTGCTTGAGCTTCTGCGCCTGGTCCATTCAGTGGAGGTGCTGCCTACTTTGCAAGGCCATTGGAAACCCCTGGGCCCGGAACACGGGTTCTAGACGCCTTGAGCACCATCTGGTGTGTAACAGGCACCCCAGAATGGGAGGCTTTTTGTTCTCGTTTTGCTGAGATTTCTACTGCTGGTCCGTAAAATGGGTTTGGATCGGCCCCGGCTTTCTGCTCCCTCCACGAAGGGCACTGGAGGAAGAGACAGACGGGGGCACTCGTGGACTCCGGGGCCGGCGGGCAGATGGGGGCACACGTGGGCACCGCTCCCTCCAGACCGGAGTTACAAGGAGACTCGCACACAAGGAAGGAAGAAGCCAACCCTATGCACTTTTTCATGGACAAAATAAGGAAATATGGTTGTTTTAGTCCTCTCGGGACGGAGGCGCCTGGGGGCTCAGTGGTTGCGCATCTGCCTTTGGCCCAGGGTGTGACCCCGGGGTCCTGGGATGGAGTCCACGTGGGGCTCCCCTCGGGGAGCCCACTTCTCCCTCTGCCTGCTGCTCCCCCTGCTGTGCGATCTCGCTCTCCCGCTCGCTCTCTCTCCCCCTCCCTCCCTCTCTCTTTCTTAAATAAATAAAATCTTTAAAAGCTCGTAAGAATAATCCTGGCAGGGCAACACGGTGCGGGCATAAAGGCGCGATCCGGGGTGGGGCAGGGCGGGCTGCTCGCAGCTCCTTCCCCCCGGCTGGGGAGGCCGGGGTCCCAGGGCCGAGGCTGGCCTGCCGTCACGCAGCTGGGCCCTGGTCGAGCAGCACAGACCTTGGCCTCCTGGGTCCTGGGCCCACCTGTGTTCGGATGGTGGTGAGGGGTCCTGAGGAGCAAAAAGGGGGAACAGCGTTCCCTGGGCTGGTCCGTGTGGTGAGGGGCGGGCAGCCAGCCTGGGGGGCAGCAGGGGCATGGGGAGCCACACACCCTAACCCGAGGACTTCTCTCTGCCCCGCAGCCCGGCCTGCTGAGCCAGCCTCGAGGACCTGGGTGAGTTGGAGCCCGGCTCGCCCCTCACCGTCCGTGTTACATCCGCCTCCTCTTCCTGACCTGACTGTCCCACAGGGCACGTCTGTCATCTACACCGAGGTGAGATGCTCCCACTTGCTGACGTTCCAGGCACGAGGCCCAAGACAAGAAGCAGGACCCACGAAGCCCACCCTGGGAACTTCGAGGAAGCCCTGTACTACTGATGGCACCACCCCAGCACCACCCACCGCGGCCTCCAGCGCTCCCCAGGGGGCCAGCGGGGACCCCAGCCCCTCTGCAAGTCCCCGACCCCTGAGCCCAGCAGCAAGGGAGGAGCCCGGCGTCCTGGTGGGGTCCCCAGGAGGCTCGAGGAACCCCTCGGTGAACCCCGGGAGCAAGAACAGGAACACCAGGCAGGGCTTCAAGCAGGGGACAGGCCACGGAGGCCACCGATGTCTTCCTGCGGGAGTGGAGGAGGGGAGGCCCTTCCCTCTACGCACCTGTCGGTGGCCCTCAGGTCTGGGCAAGGGCCTGGCCTCACCCCCACGGAGAGAGCATTAGTCTGTGTGCCCCGCGGGGCTGGCCCGGCCGCTCCGGGAAAGCATTTCCTACTGGCAAGCTGTCGCTGAGGCCCCTGAGTGGCCACGGGGCACAGGACCCGGGGAGTCCAGGAGTTGGGGGGAACGACCCAGCCCGGTGGCATCTCGGGATTCTCAACCAGAGCCAGAGCCCCCCGGGGACCCTGAACCCTGCCTTCCATGCGTCCCACTTCTGTTCAGACCCCTTCCGGGCTCCCAGGTTCATGGTACTGAGGTTGCCCCAAACCCCCAAACTGCAGTCACCCCTCAAGTGCTCACGTCTGAGCCATAGACTCTATCCCTTGACAGGAGTGGATGGGTCTGTTTCCTGCTATGCCCCAGTCCCGGTCGCCGTGGGGCCTGATGGCTGGTTTGCTTTGGCTCGTGGGGCCCACAGTCCTTGACGCGAGAGCTGGGGGCTAGTGACCAGGGGATGAGCCCTGGACGCCCTCCGGCCCCAGTCCCGCCCCCAGCCCCCTCTCCTGGGAAGAGGCCACCCCACCCACCCCCAGCCTCCCCCCCCACCCCCAGCCTCCCCCCCCACCCTCAGCCTCCCCCCCCTTGCCGGGACTGTTCATCCTTGAGCTTCCTAGAGGGACGGCCCCCCAGACACCGCCCAAACTGCCTAATCCCAGTCTCCGCTTACATAGGACGGGGCGGGCAGCGGTCCGTGCGCACATCAAAGTCTGCAAAGCCTGGTCTGCCTTCGAAAGGCACTTCATGGGACGGAGTCCCCAAAAGCCTGGACTTTGGGATAAGACGTCACCGGATAAGACAGAGGAGCTGGGACTGGGACTCGAGCCTTCTCCTCCTTTGCATCCCCCATCGGCCTTGCCCTGGCCCAGCCTCTCCTGCCCACTTGCTCCCGCGCCGCCTCCTCGCTGGGCCTTCCCCGAGGCCGCTCCGACCTCCGACCTCCGACCTCCGACCTCAGCCAGGCTGGGAGCCAGCACTGGGCCTTCTAGAAGCAAGGAGTCCTCCTGGACCATCAGGAGACGCCCTCCACCCCCAGGCTGTGAGGAGACAAGACACCGTCAGGACAGGGGAGGTGGCCCCCCAGCTGTCCCTGGGCCCCTCCCTGAGCTCCTGCACCTGCCCAGAGCGACCCCTGGATGCGGACCCCGGAACCAACCAGCCAGCGCACCCACGCTCTCCAGCCAGCTCGCAGAGCGATTTGCTGGTTTGATCATTAAAAACAAAACAAAACAAAACAAAACAGGGCTTGTTTTGTGTGTCTCCTTTTATTTGTCTTTTAAGTAGATTGTTCTTCCCCGAAGTCTGCAAAAGCACAGGCGCACGATGGATTCAAAATGCAGCTCGGCTCCTCGGACACGGTGGTTGAGAAGCCCGACCCCACAGGACGCTGGTTCACGCTCTCGCTCGCTCGCCTGCAGCACCCGCCTGCGCTGCGCTCCTTTCCCGGGACCCCTCCCCACCCCACTTCTGTGGGCACGGCTGAACATATCTTCTCCCCTTCCTGCAGAAAAGAATGAACTGGGATTTTTTTTTTTTTTAAGAAAGTTGAAGAAAATCCCCAAAAGAACACAGAGAAAGCAGAGGCGTCCGAGGAGACGCCAGCCCCTTGCCAATGCTCGGGGCAGCAGCTGCGGCTGGTCCCGGAGACCCTGGCGCCCCGGGAATGGGAGCCTCGTGGGCAGCAGGGGATGGACCCACAGACCAGGTACGGGCCCACGGAGCCCCCCACACCCCACACACACCCTGCCAGGCTCTGGCTGCGAAACGCTCTTTCTCCCTAAGTCGGAGCTAAGTGCAGGCACCCAGCCGTGGGGAGTGGCCTGCACAGGCTGGGGGCCCTGGGACCGGGTCTGTGGGGCCAGGTCACCCCCAGGGTGGGGGCGGGGAGCACGGGCCTCACGGCTGCGCCACCAGCACCCCTGGTCAGACCGTCCCCAGCCCCTGTCCTTGCTTCCCAGGTGGCTCGATGCTTTAGACACAAACCACGTCAGTGGAGCGTGGCCCTTCCCCGAACCAGGCAGTTTGCAGATCCCCGGATTCCTTCCAGTTCCAAGTTTATGTGAGATTTGGCTGGAAAATGAGGCCTTCAACGTCCTTACCCAAATCAGCAGCCACCAGGCAGCGCTGCGTCCTTCATCTTTGCGTGGACCGCAATGATGGGAAGGACAGATGGGGAGCACGGGCCGGGGAAGATCCAGGCTCCTCCATCCCCTGCGGGCTGTGCTGGGCCGCGAACTCGGGTTCCCGCATCCCTGCGCCCTGCTGAGAGGAGCTCCTGACATGGGCTGAGGGACAGGTGTGCACCGTGGACGTGGCTGAGGACAGGTGCGGGCCGTGGATGTGGGCTGAGGACAGGTGTGCACCGTGGACGTGGGCTGAGGGACAGGTGTGCGCCGTGGACATGGGCTGAGGGACAGGTGTGCACCGTGGATGTGGGCTGAGGGACAGGTGTGCACCATGGACGTGGGCTGAGGACAGGTGCAGGCCATGGACGTGGGCTGAGGAACAGGTGTGCACCGTGGATGTGGGCTGAGGGTCAGGTGTGCACCATGGACGTGGGCTGAGGACAGGTGCAGGCCATGGACGTGGGCTGAGGAACAGGTGTGCACTGTGGATGTGGGCTGAGGGACAGGTGTGCGCCGTGGACATGGGCTGAGGGACAGGTGTGCGTCTTGGACGTGGGCTGAGGGACAGGTGTGCACCGTGGACGTGGGCTGAGGGACAGGTGTGCACCGTGGACGTGGGCTGAGGGACAGGTGTGCACTGTGGACGTGGGCGGAGGGACAGGTGCGCGCAGGAGCTGCAGCCTGAGCCACCGCCGCCCTGTCTCCGAGCTCCCCGAGGCCCCGCTGACAGCGTCTCCCTCACTCTGGGACCATGCAGGGGCAGGGGGAGGGGGGCCTTTTACCGCCCAGCCCGGGGCCTCCGCGCACCCTGCACTGTCCCCTGTCCCCGCGCGGGACAATTATCCTGCTCAGAACCTGCGAGCAGCCGTTCTTCCCTCCGGGGGGTGGGATGTCCCCAACCATCCGACCCCCTCCTCTCCCTTCATTGGCTTCCCGTCCAGGACAAGGCTGTGAGGCGGGGACAGGGAGGCTGGGAAGGTGGCAGTTGCCTTCCTGCTGGGACGGAGCCGCCCCAAGACTCCTGTGCCCAGGGGGTGCCTGGCCACCACCTGCTCCGGGAGACACCAGTGCCTGCCTCCCACACCCACCCGGGCCCGGCCAGACACCTCGGCATCGTGCCGTCCACCTCCACCCAGACTCAGGGGGTGCCCCGCTTGGGGAGCCCCTGCTTGGCCGCAGACGGGGTGCAGGCGTGGAGGGCCTGGCCCTGCCCTCGCCGAGCTTCCCATGTGGGTCCGACGGAGGTGGCCGCTCTCACCCCAATGCCCTTGCTCTGCACTTCCCGCTCCCCTCTCTTCCCTCTCTGCCCACCTGGTAGCCAGGTGTTTCTGAGTGTGACGAAGCACCAGACCCCATCCCGAATCAACCCCTACACGTGTCGCTCCCGCCACCCCGACTGTAATCAGAGGGTCACGTGTCCCATCTCCTCGCCCCACTGCAGGGCTGTGCCCTTCACCTCGGTGTTCCGGGCCCCTGGCAGGTAAGTAGATGCTCAGTGCACCCCTGATGCGGGAAGGATGGCATCACCACGGACGCATGAGCGAGTGCCCTCCCTTGGCGTCTTGGCCACAAAGCCTGGCAGCTTCCAGCTTCTGTCCCCTGGTTCTGCTCTGTCCCTGCCCCTCTGCTCTGGACATTTCCTTCCTGCTCCAGGAGGGACCATCCCAGCAGCTGCCACCCAGGCTTTCCCGCCTCTCCTTTCTCTGCCCACCTGCCCTTCCACCGGCCGGTCACCCTCTGCTCACCCCGGGCCACAACCCGCCTCTGAGCAGACTGGGTCCCCGGGAGCAGGGTGCTGGTTGAACTGGGATCGCGTCCCAGCCGCCCTGAGCCAGAGTCTCCGGGGCCTTGAGTCGGGCGAGATAGAGCCGCGGCCCGCAGAGCCGGACCTGGTCCCTAAGCCAGTATCCAGGGCTGCTGCGGTCTGATCCTCAACCTCCCCGGGTTCCTGCCCACTCGGCCCTCTCGGGCTCCTCCCCGCGCTCCTCCGTCGTCGTGCAGGGTGTCCCAGGTGGCACAGCCCCTGCCTGGCGTCCCGGGCACATCCTGTTTCTGCACTTGGGCTGTGAGCACCCGAGGGCAGGAGCCCGGGCCCGGGACCCCCGGCTCCCAGGCCACCGTGCCTGCCTCGCTCTCGGCCGGGTCAGAGCCCTGCAGGACTGGACCTCACGAGGCACACTCGGCTGTCGGGGAGTCCCCTGCCCTGACTCAGGAGGCCGCACAGCTGAAGTGTGAAGAGATTCGAGGTGAGGCAGGGCGGCTGGGGCCGTGGCCCCGGCTCCCAGGGGTGCAGCCGCCCCCCAGCTCTCAGCCGCAAGGTGCTAACCTCGCTCTGGGTTCAGATCCACGAGGCCCTCGCGGGGAGAGCTGAGACCACGGCTGGAACTCACGCCCTCACCGACAGAGTTTCACTAAGTGCCCACAGTGTGCCGAGCACCCAGGGGAGTGCGGACGCGGATGGGTGTAGACCGTCCTGCAAACAGTCCGTGGAGGCGGGAAGAGCGTCCCAGGACAGCGTGAGGAGGGCGGGCGCCGGCCGGCGGGGGGCCCGGGGTGGCTTGAGCGGGGCTGGGGGCTGCAGTGCCCAGACGGAGCAGGGGGGCGGGGGGGGGGTGCCTGCCGCGGGGGCCCCCAGGAGGGCGCATCCCGGCTCCGCAGGGCCAGAGAGCAGCCTCACCGAGGCCGCAGCTCACACCGGTAGCCCTCAGAAGACTCCAAGCCCACAGTTTTGTCTTGTTTTCGAGGGTGGTGGGAGGCGCGAAGGAATTTTAGGGAAGTAACAAAGGGAATGGCAATCCGGAGGGCCCCGTGGCTGCGGCAGGAAGGGCACCCGGCGGGGGGCGCTGGCGCGTCGGCAGGAGGTCGTGGGCCGTCGGGGCCTGTTGGGCAATCCCGGGCGCGAGAGAGGTGACTTCCAAGAGCACCGTCCGAGACAGCCCAGCGAGGCTGGTGGCCAACTTCCACTTTACTCGGGATATTTTCACTTTCGGGGCATTTTGATCTGAGTCAAGATTCCTCCTTCTGAACATGGGACTTTCCAGAAGGACCGCAGCCTCCTCCCGCGCGTCCCCTTGACCCGGGTGTCCTGGATCAGGGGCCGTGGAAGGAGCCGCGGGCCTCGCAGACCAAGGCGGCCGGCCATGGGCTCCCTGCGGACGCTGCTCCTCTGGGGAGGTAAGCCACCAGCCGGGCAGCCACCCACCAGCCGTCCCCAGGCGGGACCCCGGGGGCGGAGGGGGGTCAGGGAAGAATGAAACGCGTCCTTGGCGACAGGGACCAGCCCGAGCTGCAGGGACCTGGGGCGGCAGCCTAGCAGCATCCGCGTCCTCGAGCCGTGGGCTGTGCCGTGGCCCCAGGCGGGGGGTAAAACTGGAGGCTGGTGGCACCAGTGGTCTGGAAAGGGACGGTTGTAAGGGGGGTGAGGGAGATGGCAGGTGGGGCAGCGGGCTCAGGCCGTGAAGGACGCCTCTGCACCCAGGCTGCTCCCTGCGGGTCCGCGGAGGAAGGCAGATCGGGGAGGGGTGAGAGGCGGCAGCCAGCGCAGGGGGCTGGGGCACGGCCCACCAGGGTGCTGCGGGCAGGGCGGCACGTGGGCCATCCCCGTCCTGTCTGCACCTGCCCCCCCCCCCCCCCGCGCCGTTAGCAAGCAGCTCACGTAACCGGTCAGCGCCCCAAGCCCAGGGGGCAGGACGGGGCACGCGGGAGGACCAGGGCACCCAGGCCCTGCCAGGGACCCAGGGGGACTTTGAGACGACTCTGCCCAGTGTCCCCGCCTGGGCTCCTGGCCGTGCAGCCTCCCAAAGCCCAAACATGTGCAGGGAAGCCCTCACCAAAAAAAAAAAAAAAAAAAAAAAGGAAACTGGGAAACTGTGGTTCACGGATCTTTCAACCCCTTGGACGTGGAAGGCAAGCGGCCCCAAATGGTAACCAGATGCGAGGTACGTTGGCTCCTGGCGGTGGGGGTGAGACGACGGAGGGACCAGGCTCATGGGCTGCGTCCCCCCTTCGTTGGCAGCAGAGCCGGGGCAGGAGGGACCCCAGGGCCCCGAGGGGCACCCTTCCCTTCTGTGTGCACGTGCACCTCCCGCCCGCCCGGGCCCTGCACCCCTACACCCCCTGCGCCGGCGCCACGGGGTCCCCAGGGAGCCCTGCTCCAGCCAGTACAATGCACTGAGCTGCTCCTCCCTGTGCCCCCTAAACAGGGGTGGGCGAGGGGTACGAAGGGGACAAGGGGACCTGGTGGTATCACGGCCGCAGGTGATGACGACAGAGGGACAGAGAGGAGCACCCCTCCTGGCTGCCCTGAGGGACGGGAGGTCGGGGAGGCAGCAATCCCCCCAGAAAGGCAGCAGGGCAGGGCCCGCAGGGGACCCCACCCTCCACACACCTAACCATGGTCCCCTCCATGACCAGACCCCAGCGACCAGCACCTGAGCCCTCAGCTCCTCCCACTTGTCCCTCCCAGCCGCCCCGCCCAACCCCCCCCACCCCCCCCACCCCCCCCCCCCCCCCCCCCCCGCCACCACTCTGCAGGTGGGGGGCCAGGCTCCAGTGCAGCCCCCACACCCCTGCCTCTGCAGCTTCCTAACCAGAGTCTCAGGTCTCAGCCGTTAATCCCAGCCCTGAGGGTGATGCTCCCGCCCCCCCTGCTCCTTCCTCCCTGCAGAGAGCTTCCCTCAGTTACAGAGAGCACACTCCCCCCACTCAGGGCCTTTGTAGGCGCCTCCCCTCTGCCTGTGAGGCTCCCCACCACCACCACCACCCTCTCCAGTCCGCCCTGCCCCCCTCCCCTTGGCCGCTCCCCACTCCCATCTGCTCTCAGCTTCAGCACTTCTCCCCCCCCAGCCTCCCAAGGCCCCCCCACCCCTGCTCTCCCAGGCCCTCCCTCCACCCCATCCCCATACTTGACTTATTCGCCTCCTCCATCACCTCCTCCGCAGCCCAGAGCTGAAAGGGGACCCTCTCCCTTCGGGTTTCATTCGGGGTGTGGGTGGAGGGGGGGGTGTGGGGAGAGGGGCCCTGCTGTGCGAGGGGGTGGTGGGGAGCCTCGGGCCAGGCAGTGAGGGCTCCATTGTTTCAGTTCTTTCAGCCCTGCTCCCCGCGGCGGCCCCCCGTGCCCCAGTGCTGCTCCCCGTGGCGGCCTCCCACGCCCCAGTGCACGGCCAAGTTGGGGGCTCGGTGCTGCTGGAGGCAGAGCGCCCTGCTGGCTTCCAGGTCCGAGAGGCCATCTGGAGATCTCTCTGGCCTTCGGAGGAGCTCCTGGCCACGTTTTTCCGGGGCTCCCCCGAGACTCTGTACCGCTCCCGCTTCCTGGGCCGAGCCCAGCTTCACAGCAACCTCAGCCTGGAGCTCCAGTCCCTGGAGTCTGGGGACAGCGGCAACTTCTCGGTGCTGCTCGTGGACACAGGCGGTCGGGCCCGCACCCGGGTCCTGCAGCTCAAGGTGTATGGTGAGTGAGCACCACGGGCCCTCCGGCTGCCTGCTGGCCTCCAGGGGAGGTGGGGGGGTCCCCGCGCCCTGGGAGTGGGGAGTGCCGGCTTCCAGGGCCTCTGGGCTCTGACGTCACAGCTAGTGCCCCACACGGCTGCTCCCGTAGCCCACCTGAGAAACTCTCTGGCTGCCCCAGGTGAGCTCCCGCGCGACGCAGCTGGCCTTGTCACCCCGGAGTCCTTGCCCCAACTCCGGCAGCAGGCGTCTTTGCTTGGCTCAGTGGCCTTGACACGATCAAAGCCTCCGTAGCACAGTCACCTTTCTCACTTGCAAAAGGGCCCATAAGTAATTCTATGGTAGATGCCGACAGAGGCAAACACGCAGCGCTCGCGCTCGCTCGGGCGAGCCTCGGAGACGGAGGTGTGGCCCTGTGCCGAAATTCTAAGATTACACCATGTGCCATCATTAGGCAAACCACTAACAAGGGAAAAAAGTGTTGCCGAGCAAACGTTGATACGTGTTTTTTATTAAAAATTGAAGTGTGACTAAAGCACAAAGGCTTATATGGCTTTAAAAGTTCTCGCAGACGTGTTTAGAGATTTTTGACTATAGGACATTCATGGGTTCCCTCAGTTATTCTCTGTTGCGAAACAAACCAGCCCCGGACTGATGGACTGACGGCCTGAAAACAGCAGCTATGTGGAAGTCCCGCCCCCTGTGGGCTTGCAGGATGCGGCACCTTCAGCATCTCACTGGGGTGACTGGCCTCACTGGGCGCTGGACGGGCCCTTCTTTCCAGCAACTTCACCTCCACCACCTCTACCACCACCACCACCTTCACCATCATCTCCTCAACCAGCACCTCCACCACCATCACCTCCATCATCACCTCCACCACCTCCACCACCACCACCTCCATCTCCACTACGTCAACAGACACCTCCACCACTTCCACCATCACCTCCATCACCATCACCTCCACCTTCACCTCCTCCACCATCACCTCCACCACCTCCACCACCACCACATCAACTGCCACCTCCACCACCTCCATCACCTCCTCCACCATCACCTCCACCACCACCACCTCAACCACCACCATCTCCATCTCCACCACCTCTACCGCCACCTCCACGTCCTCCACCATCACCTCCACCATCACCTCCTCAACCGTCATCTCCATCACCATCACCTCCACCACTATAATCTCCACCATCATCACCTCCACCATCACCTCCTCCATTGTCACCTCCATCACCATCACCACCTCCACCATCACCTCCACCACCATCACCATCTCTACCATCACCGCCATCACCACCACCTCCACCGTCACCTCCTCCATCACCTCCTCCACCATCACCTCCATCACCATCACTGCCATCACCACCACCTCCACCATCACCTCCTCCATCACCTCCTCCACCATCACCTCCACCTTCACCTCCTCCACCGTCACCTCCAACACCACCACCTCCACCACCACCACGTCAACTGCCACCTCCACCACCTCCATCACCATCACCTCCACCTTCACCTCCATCACCATCACCTCCACCTTCACCTCCTCCACTATTACCTCCACCACCACCACCTCAACCACCACCATCTCCATCTCCACCACCTCTACTGCCACCTCCACTACCTCCACCATCACGTCCTCCACCATCACCTCCTCAACCGTCATCTCCATCACCATCACCTCCACCACTGTAATCTCCACCATCACCTCCACCATCACCTCCTCCACTATCACCTCCATCACCATCACCTCCACCATCACCTCCATCACCATCACCACCTCCACTGTCACCTCCATCACCATCACCTCCACCGTCACCTCCTCCATCACCTCCACCACCTCCATCTCCACCACCTCTACTGCCACCTCCACCACCTCCACCGTCATTTTCTCAACCATCGCTGCCTCCACCATCACCTCTCCCACCACCATCACCTCTACCTCCACCTCTACTGCCCCCACCTCCACCATATTTCTGCTGATCAAGAAAAAATGGCCTTTTAGCTCTCATTTATCTACCTAGTGACTTGGGAAAGGCATGTGAGGCACCCCAAACCACTATTTCAATAAGACCTCAGAAATTTGGTAGAGAAGTGGGGAGAAAAAGGTCTAATTTTAAGAATGAAAAGTAGAAATGACAGCTGGGAAGAGGAAGACAGTGAGGGAGAGAAAGGCAGTAGTAAACCGGGAAGGAGACAGGACCTGCCGCCTCCACCACTAACCCAGGGACAGCTGGCTGGTTGTCCTTGGGTGAGCCCCTCGGGGTGCAAGTGTGCCATCGGGTGTGTGTCCCGGGTGCACACAGCCCTCAAGTTGCACAGCTTGGCAGGCAGGGTGCTGGCTGGATTTCAGCAGCCCCACCTTTACCTGTTACCCCCTTAGCCCAGTGGCCCTGTGCCGTGAATACCCTGCACAACTACACAGGCAGCCCTGGAGCCTCTTCCTATTCTGAGTCTCAGCTGCTGCACATGTGAAATGAGGACGTTGAATGTGATAATACGCACAGCACCCACACCACTAAGCTCTAAAATGCCTTGTTCTCAGCATCTGAATTACAGATTTTAAGGAAATTGCTGTTTTATTGCTTCCAAATACATAGCGTGATTAGAACTAATTACACAAAGCTGCCAAGCAGCCGTCCTTGGGAGCTCTGCTTTGACAATAGATAAGAATGATTTGAATTAGCAGATCAGTTACTAGAAATGTCAATGGGTGTTTCTACTGTGTCTGATCGTGTTTGGAAGCAGCTTGTCCTCTGAAGTAGTGTAAATACCCCCCCACATACACACACGGTGATCTTTGTTTATACTATTAGTGCGCCCAGCAAATCCTTCCCTTTCCATATCACAAATCCCACCACATTGAGCTGGCATTAATGAGGTTTTACTCTGCTTGACTTTGGAATGCTGTCAGAGACAGAGCCCTCCCGTGGTCACCAGAGTGCTCTCCCGCTGGCCCCATTGCCACAGAGACTCAGGATTTACTCGTCAACCTATATAGGACAGGGGAGCCACAGCCTGGGATGCCGGGACTCCAGTTTGTTCCCTGATCTAGGTGGCTAAGCACCGAGAGGGCTAGGTAATGAAGATAGCAAACCCATCCCTGGTCTCCTTCACAGCGCTTTATACCCTTGTAATTGTTTCCTTAATTATTCCGTCTTGTCAGAACCTGTCGTCTTCACCAAACTAGGAGTCCTAATAGCCCAAGAATGTGTTTGTTTTCTTACCTGATTTAATACATGCCCAGCATCTGTCTGACGAGTATGTCGTAAGTGCTATGACGAGGGCAGAGTTCTTGGGGTCTTCGGAGCCTGCGGTATCCGGGAAAGCTTCATAATCGGAACAGTAAGCAACGTGTCCGAGCTGGGTCTTGAAGGGTTGCTAGGAGTTTCCTGGAGGGAGAGAAGGGAAAGGCATACATGCACAGCTGAGCCACAGGACGGCATGCAAGATAGACAAAAGCGTGGCACGCTTGGGAGAACTGGAAATTAATTAGGGTTGGTGAGTAAGACCAGCAGGAGGTTACCCCAGAGAGGTTGCCATCAACCGGTTCATGAAGGATTTTGAATACCAGATAAAAGGGATTCAGCTGCTGCCCTATGGGCAGTGGGAAACCAGACTAGGTTCCAGAGCAAGAGAGGGCTAGTCAGAGGGGACCCCTAACCCTGCGTGGATCCCACAGCCGGCCCTATACGCCCCGCCAGTACCACCACAACCCATGCGTGCTCTACTGTTCTCACCTAGACTCAGTGCCCAGGCCCGTGGTACAAGTATTCATCGCTGCACCAGGGGATGCCCATCCCCCCAAGACTTGCCAGGTGTTCCTGTCCTGCTGGGCCCCCAACATCAGTGACATAACCTATAGCTGGCGACGGGAGGGGCCCACTGACTTCGGTATTGAACCAAGCGGCCTCTTCACGGATGGACAGGTGCTGAGGGTTTCACTGGGACCAGGCGACAAGAGCGTGGCCTATTCCTGCATTGTCTCCAACCCCGTCAGCTGGGACTTGGCCACCATCACCCCTTGGGAGAGCTGCCTTCGCGAGGCAGGTATGCCAAGGGCCAGGGGTCAGTGGTCGAGGGATTGTGAAGCCTCAAGCCCTCCCCTGACCCTGCCGCCTCCGTGTCTGGTCCCAGGAAAGTCCTACAGAGATGTGCTGCTGGTGGTGCTGCCCGTCTCCCTGCTCCTGACCCTGGCTGGTCTCCTGTCCGCCTGGCACTCCTACTACTCAGGTAGGCGGTCCGAGGTGCCAGGAGCGTGCGGAGGAGGGGCCCACGGGAGGGAGGGCAGGGCTGGGCTGCCCCCATTTTCGGCTTCGGATGGCGCCCTGTCTTCCCTCTGCCACCCCATCTCCTGGCTCATGCTCTGGTCTCCAATCGCACTGAGCTACGTGGAGTTTCCTCGGCAGCTCTTAGAGACTCTTGTCTTCTCTGCCTCTTCAGGCCTTTGCATGTGCCTCTCTCCCTGCCTGGAGCTCACTTTCCGTGGGGTCCCACCCAATACCCCCTCTTCACATGCCTGCCTCCCCCACAATCTCCAAGGCTGCGTCTCTCCAGGAAGCCTTCCTGACGTCCTCCCCTGGCCTTGGCAGGCTTGGTGCTCTCCCTCTGCTCTCCATCGCTACCCCGGCCTCCGTGCTCCCTGCACTTGCTCTGCCCCTGAACGCTCAGCCCCTTAAGGGCAAAAGCTGGCTTACCGGTGGGCACCTAGCAATGGTTCCCGGAACAACGCTGGTCTGGATAAGGGTTGGCAGAGTAGACGTCTAGACGAATCCCAACCCCTTCTTGCCTCCACTACCTGGGAAATTCTCCCGGAGGAAAAGCTATCTCTGGTTAGGGGCTGATAAGGTCTCCTTCTCGAAGAGGAGACAACAGGGGAAACTCCGAGATGCGGCCATCCCTCCAGCTCAGCCCCTGCCCCGACCCCATGATGCCCCGCCACTGACAGAAACACCCCACGGACCTGGGCTTTGTGGGGATGTCCACCGCAGGCCGTCTGGGTGGCTTCGGGCCAAGCCAAAGATGCTAAGATTCCAAACACTGGAGGGGTAACCTTCCTAATCTCTTTGCAGGGAAGAAGCACAAGAACGTCTGTGCTGACAGAGTGGCTCCAGAGACAGAGAACTCCCTGGTGTAGGGTCTGCCTTGAAGGAAGATGTAAACTTGCCTGGGCCATCAGGAAGTGCACTGCCCAAGCACAATGCTCTGGACGTGGCTGGTGTCTGGAAACCACCAGGTCCTCATACCCCCCATGAGACTCCTGTCCCACCTCTAGGAGCTCCCAGCTCTTGCACTGGGAGCCGCCAAGCAGAAAACACTGGCACAACCTTCCGCATCCCCTTCTTCTCCCCCTGCTCCTTGCAGGTCCTGACTCTGCTTGGGGCAAGACAACAGACCACCCCCTCAAAAATGCCGGACGTTCTCCAGAGACGTAAATAGGCCTGGGCATTCACTGCCACCACCCCCACCAGCCACTACCACTGCCCATGACGTATTGTTGTAGACTGGGTTCGTCTCTTCAAAATCCACGTGTGGAAGTCTTAACCCCAAATACCTCAGAATAAGACTGTATCTGGAAAAGAGATCATTAAAATCACACGAGGTAATTGGGATGGGCCCTAATCCAATATGACTGGTGTCCTTATAAAAGAGGGAGAGACCCCAGGGACGCACGCCCAGAGAAAAGGCCATGGGAGGACACGGAGAGAAGGAAGACATCTACGAGCCAGGAGAGAGGCCTCAGAAGAAACTAAACCTGCCGACACCTTGATCTCGCACTTTTAGCATCCAAGATTACGAGAAAATACAGTTCTGTTGTGAAAGCCGCCCATTCTGTGACATCTTGTTGTGGTGACCCTAGCAGACCGACGCAAGTGGTCACTAACTGGCACCAAAGGATTGCCCCCAGTCTGGGTCCCAGACTCTGAAAGACGTTAAACGGTGAAAGTAACAGGGAAACCCTGAATCTCCCACTTGCAGCTCCGGCCCCAGCCCAGCCCCTGTACTTTAAGACCTTGATGTTTCCTGATGTCCAAAGCGTTTTCATGAGAACAAAAAATCTAGAAATAGATGAAGGTGAGAGATGCGGGACAGGGGATTCTCTTCCCCGCCAGAAGGGCCATCAGGTCAGCTGAGTTCGTGGCCCCTCAAAGGTAATTTGCAGGTAGAGACCATCAAGGGGTCGTCGACGTCTCCCGGTCGGGATGGGTGCCATCTTGCAGGTAACACCCTATTAACGACATTTCCTCTGTCTCTGCTGCCCACCGTGCATCCTGTAGGATCTGGGGCTAGGGTTTGAGATTCTCTCCTCACTCCCAAGCACAGTGACCTGGAAAAGAGACATTAAATTTGCCCCCCGCCAACACAAAGCTCTCGCACGGCTTCAAGCAAAGCAGCTCAGCCTGAGTGTCTCTGCCTGCGACCAAAAAGGTGAGGAGCCAGGAAAAGTGAAGCAGAAAGACAAATATGGACGGAACAGGTGTGGGGCCATCCTAGAGTCTGCTACACTCCCGTTCAGATGCACGTGCAGGAGGGGAGGAGACAAGGACTCCAGCGCTCAGTGTGAAGACGGCCAAGGTCACTGTCAAAGGAGAGCATGTGGGATGTGGCTGCCTTTGGAAAACAGTATCTGCCACTTGGTGGTCCTGTCTGGAAAAAATCTGGGACACGACCACTGGAAACTTCTAGGTGGGGCCTCACGGATGGTGAGTTCCACCGTTATTCCTTCTCCGGTGCAACCAGATTCTTTTCTGGGACCTCACTCAAGTCTCGATCATGGAGAGGAAGGAGGCACTGAAGGAACAGGGGTGGGCTTCGAAGCATTTTCCCTGGGCAGCTTCCATCGCTCCACCCACTAGGTCACTCCTGTGCAAGGATCACCCCTTGCCCCCCCAGTTTCTGGGCAGTCACTTCACCTCTGACGCCAGCCGGCCCCATCGGCCTCTAGATTTACATCTCCACTCATCTGCTCAACTAGCTCTGGAATTTCCCTGCCTCTGGCTCTGCTCTGAGGTCCCCAGCTGGTCACCAGTCTTCATCTTGCCCTCTTGCCTTTCCCGGGCCCATTGTCTCCCCTCACCTCCCCCCCAACCCCCCCAGTCCCCCTGAGCAGTGCACGTGGCCTCCCAACCTGGCAGCTTGTGTTGCCCCCTCCTGCCACCTGGAGGCATTCCCTGGAGGCCACGGATTTCTCATGCAAAACTGACCTCAGTCCCTAAAAATGACGTGGAAGAGAAAGCCCAGGTCTAGCAAGGAGCCACGGTGGTTGTGTGGGGGAAACACACGCACACGCACACGCGCATATGCCCCACAGCCCCCACTTGTCTTCCCTTCATCGCCTGGGCCCCGCCTCAGGTGACAGCAATTCTAGACATGGGCCCCACCCCACAGTTCTCCCTTTATGACTTAAATCTTAGTGACCTCATTCAGCCAGGGGTTTTATGATGTGATGCATCAGGGCCTTTTAAAAGAGACCCATGCTGCTCCCCCAAATGGGTGTTCCTATCCCCCATGATTCACTTGCCAGCTAGTGGACTAATTAACCCTCCACCAAAAAAACCTCAAAGTACTTCTGAGGGAACAGTGTTTACGCTAATAAGCATTGGGATTCATGGTTTCCAGGTCACACAGAACAAATATCGACTGAAGGCTCAGCATGTGCTGGGTACCCCTTGAAGCACCGAGGACTCAGAAGTGAACAGTGCAACGTCGTTCCTTCATGGCGTTTATATTCTGCAAACACAATAAGCAAGGAAGCGCATGTCAGGAGTTGGTGGGTTCCAGTAAGAAGATAAAGCAGAGGAAAAGGCTAGAGAACAAGATGGACTGAACCGTGGGGTGGGCGGGCAAAGAGTAACCAGAAGGTGCAAAGGCCCTGAGCTGGGAGCATGGTTAGTGTCTTTGAGGAATAGAGCGGAGGCCGGGGCAGCTGGGTCAAGCAGAGAGGGCAACGGGGGGCGTCCGAGTGATGGCCGGGGGCCACAGCGCAGGGGACCTGGTGGTTCTCAGAACACAGCTCCCTGGCGTTAGGGTAGTGGGGGCACCCCCGTCTGTTGGGTGTCAGACATTTATACCATTATTTCCAGTAGGCTCGGCCTTGGGCCAGAACCCTGTCCCTCTGGTTTTGCTTTTCTTTGTTTTCATGACATTCCCCTCGGAGCACGAGCCTCTGCACCTGTTCTGTGCAAAGCACAAAAGCAAGAGCTGCTAAGGCAGGGGGTCGCATGACATGATGTCAGAGGGAACAGAGGGGGGCACAGCAAGAGAAGGGCGAGAGAGACGTGGTTGGTTTGTTTGGCTTTTTTTCTTTTTTTTTTTATCAAAGATAAAAATATATTTTTTATGGAGCAGCTGAGTGGCTCAGCGGTGGAGCATCTGCCTTCAGTTCAGGCCATGACCCCAGGGTCCTGGGATCGAGTCCTGCATCGGGCTCCCCGCAGGGAGCCTGCTTCTCCCTCTGCCTGTGTCTCTGCCTCTCTCTCTGTCTCTCAAGAATAAATAAATAAAATCTTTAAAAAATACATCTTTTGCAAACAGCCTCTCTGGCAAATCTTCCATTTTTGTCAAGAAGTGGCACCTGCTCGGCTGGTTAGCCACTGGTCTTCCGCGCAAGCACCATCCCCCTCCAGCCTGGACTCCCCGGCTCCCTGCACCTCCTCGGCTCCCAGGGTGAATGAAGGGCGCCCCCCAGAAGCGCCCAGTGCAGCCACCCCAGCTCTGGGCGGGCCTCAGCGGGTGCCTCCCCTCAGGCCACACCGTGGTCAGCACGGTGGGAGGAGGCTGAGCACACGGGTCAGCAGCAGGGGAGCCCCCGCTGCTCCCCCAGCCACTCCCGGGAGCCGCGCTTGCAGGGTCCATTATCGACCGAGGATTGAAGAGAGAAGGGCTGTGGCGGCGGGGCTAGAACCTTATCCTGTGAGAGATGATTAAAGACACTGGCCATATTGAGCCTAGAACAGAAGACGGAGAAGGCCCTCGGTGGTCGGGAGGGCTCCCCCGTCACCAGGCCAAGGGACTGAGACCACGGGAACGCGACCCCGGGAGGCAGGCGAGGGGATCTCTGAGCTGGAAGGAAATCTTGTGGTTTCTCAGTTCAAGTTTCTCATTTCGCTGGTGAACAGAGAGCCGAGCCCAGGGACAGTGTCACTCCTGGAGTCGCATAACCGGCGGCGGCAGAGGCGGCGTGGGCCTGGGTTTATCCCTGAGACCTTCCTGACAGATGGGGGGCCTGACGGGACGTGAGCTGTTCCGCCCAGTGGCTCGAGCAGAGACCATCCCAGAACAATCCCACAGACCTGAGGCTCCTCCTGGTGGGTGGGAAGCTGCGTTCGACCAGGAAGGACAAATACGGGTGCGTGTGCACAGCCGTCTGCCCTCCAGACCGTGTCGGGCGTGCATGAGTCCTTATGACACACTCTTCCCGTGGAGTCCACGGGCCCCGCAACGCTCAAGTGACTCCGGCCAGTTGATTGAGGTTGGGGGCCAAGACGAAACCTGTTAGCCACGCCGGCCCCAGATGACCCGTAACTTCCTCCCCACATCACAAACTAAGTACAAAGTCAGGACAGAAAGAACGGGTGACGGCGGGGTCCAGGAGGCCGACGGAAGGAGCAGCCTCCCGCGGACGAGGAACTGTCCTGTCGTGGGCGCGCTGCTCGGGGGCTGTATCGGGACCGAAAAGGAGGAGAGATGGGCGGAAAGTCCTAATACTACCTCCCGGAACGCAGGAACCAACAGGACATCAGCCGAATAAGCCAAAAGAGTACCTGTGGCCGCTGAAGCAATCACGTGCATCAGAATATCTAAGAATAACGTGAAAACCCTGGCATCAGAGCTCTCTGGATGCAAAGAACAGAAACCAACTCTGGTTTTAATTAAAGCAAAAGAAGGACATTTTTAGAAAGCCGTAGGTAGCTACCGCAGTCCGGGTGGCTGGTACACGACAGGGATTTACTTCCCGTGGTTCTGGAGGCTGGAAAACCTAAGGTCAAGGCGCCCGCAGATTTGGTGTCAGGTGAGAGACCAGCCTGCTTCCGGGTTCAGGGAGGGATGGCCACCTTCCCACGGGGCCCTCGCGTGGCGGTAGGGGTGAGGGGGCTCTGGGGGGGCCTCTGCTGAGGGGCTCACGAGGCTCCACCCTCAGGACCTCGTTTCCCCTCAAAGGCCCCACCTCCAAACACCATCGCTTTGGGAATTAGGTTTCAGCACATGAATTTTGGGGGCGATACAGACATTCAGTCCATAGCGCTCCGAGGACCAAAGTAAACAGTGGTGAAGCGGGGCTCAGAAAGGACAAAGCCACGTGGCCTTGGGATTACAACATCCTCGGGGCCACCATGGAAGAAATGTGTCCTGTTTCTGCGCCCACGCAGCTCCCTGAAGATTAACACTGCCAGCAAACAGATTGAGCTTGATGGGGCCTGGCGGGGCTCAAGGATCCTCCCTCTCGGGGGTGGAGAAGAGTTGCAAGGCATCTTGTAGGAAGGGGTACAGGTTTAACAAAAGAAAGGACAAAGAGGAAGTTTGAGCCAGAATCTGTAGGGAACGAAATGCATTTATCTGTTCAGTCAGTAGGTGGTGACTGCTCTTGACTGCTCGCCTGCTGGTCCCCTTCCGTGCCAGAACCCACTGGGACGGGGAAGTCTGAATAGTGGTGTCCCAACCCCTGCCCCCAACGACCTTGCAGCCCAGCGGGGAGGCAATGCAACAACCGATTGATTCCAGGGAGTAAACCAGATTGATTCCAGGGAGTAAACCATAAACCGTAATATGGCCCCCAGCATGCGCTCAAAGGCATCTCCTGGCCTGTCCCCACAGAGGGCCAGTCGGGTCCCCAAAGGAAGCGACAAAAGGGGCAGAAACCCCGGCTGGGAGTAAAGCTTCAGCCGGCATGGACTGAAGAAGCTCGGACCCGTGGATTCCAGGGGCAGGCCGCCCAGAGCAGCACCAGGCTTTGGGGTGACCGGTGCCCGGGCTGGCAGGTTGTCTGTAGCTTCCCGTCCGGGTGGCACAGCAGAGGGACAGCAGTCAGGAGGAGCCATAGAGCTCTCACCCATGACTTGCCCAGAAGGCCAGGGTCACCTGCTAGAGCCTCAGCCAGCTCCGGGCTCAGTCACTGGAGGGTTCATTCTTCCGGGGGTTGCATGGGACAAGCACAGATACAGCAGGACGTCCGCTGGTCTGTTCCGTGTCCAGTTACTCCCAGAGGCCACGGGCACAGCTGGTGTCACCCTTCCACCCCGGCAAGCCTGCTGTGACTCTCCTCTGCAGGCAAGGAGCCGAGGGTGCATCCCCTGGAGCTCACTCACTCTGGCCCTTCTAGAACACCCTCCAGGAATCCAGAATACAGTTCTCCATCCAAATGGGAATCTGGGACCTGTGCAAGCCCTTTTCAGTTCATGCTCCCGAAGATGGACCAAGGAGCCAGTGGCTGCACCCCTACGTCTGAGGGCAGCTTTGGGGGTCAGTGGGGAGCCCACACATGGAGCCGGACTGCCACACGAGCGGGCAAGCCCTTCACAGTGTGGGACGGAGCTGTGGGCAAGAAGGGAAGGGGCCACCCTCGGGCCTGTTCTTCCCGTGAAACCAAGCTCTGCTCCGAAACCCCGAAGAGTCAAGACTTCTGAATCCAGACCCGGCCTTCCAGGGCATTTTGAACCCGTATTTGTCCAAGTCGCAGGGCAGGACATGTTTTGTGTAGCAAATGGTCAGCTTGATTTAACATCTCACGTGTTAGGGCCACACGTGAATGAGCCCCCCCGCCCCCAGCCCTGGACTTTACCCTGTTTCCCACCACCCACCCCTCTTGGCCCCGAGACCTGCCCCCATGATGCAGGGCAGGCCCCCAGCGGTCCCTGCGGCTCCAAAGTAGCACCGGGGAGTGGGTCTGGACCAGACAGTGACAGCAGGCCCCAGGGTCCTGGAGGACTGGGCAGCCTGTCCCCACAGTCACCAGCAGCACATCGGTCACGCGCGGGCAGCATGTGCCAGACCCTGGGAGCACAGCTGTGGGCGAGACGGGTGGGGGCCCTGCACCCAGGAGGCTGGCCGTCTGGTCGGGAGAGGCAGACACTAGACAAATAGACGGAAGGCGTCCCTAGGCCTGTGCTAAGCTC